TTTTTGGGATTATGAGATTCGGGAAGCCGCGTCCTCGACTTCTCGTCCTGGGTTTCCTGGCACCAACCTTTGGAGTAGAAGTTTGCACGAGCACAGGAACTCTCTAGCTCAGAATTCTCTCGCAAGATCCCTTGGGCAAAGGGGCATGTGAGCATTTTTACAGACATTATTCTTCGAAAGTCCATGGACACGGTCCAGCTACACATGCGCCGAGACTTCCAGGTGTGGGCCCTGATGGAGCATCCTGTAGACTTCCTAGGGGTTTTAGGGCTTAGGGCGGAGGCCTTAGGGAGAGAGTTCCGGAACCATCCTTTTTTTTGTGGTGTGTATGTGTATGTTGTCTATGCTTCAAGCCGCCCACATTGGAGCATCATGTGGACCTCCAGGACCACGGTACCCAGCAAACACTTCTTTGTGACTGCATATGACACTACACACTGATCTTTGACAGGATGCCATCATGTTGAAAGTGTAGGTGCGTTTTAAGATTTGTACATATGTATATGTATGTATATATATATATATACATATGACTATATATATATATATGTGTGTGTGTGTGTGTAATCGTGATAACCTACAGAGGCATGTGCTTAAGTATGGAATACGCTCTACCCCTCGAACCAAATGAAATCCTGAGAATCCCCACTATATCCTCTAAACCCCACTGAAACCTTGAAAACGCAGGTTGGATTGTCAAAGCAGTTTTGTTCTATCATACTGAACATCAAGCAGAAGAAGTGAAATTCGAACTGAGATTCGAAACATCGCACGTCTGAACTGCATAATTTCTGCTTCAATGCCGCTCTTTACTGTTCAATTATAGTTCGATTGTGATTAACGCAGGTCCTAAAATGAGGAAAAGGAAATGGGCTTGGGCTTGGGAGCCGAGAGAACTAAGCCACCCACACTCTAACTCTATACCCTAAGGGTTTCATTTTGAATTTGAACATTGCTTCGGCGCCACTTCGGGGGGGGGGGGGGGGGAACCCTAAACCCTAAACCCAAACCCGGGGGGGAGGGAAGGGGCGGAGGGCACTGGAAGCCCATCTGGTTCGAAATGGCCTTCATGGCTTTCACGACTTTGGACTTACGGGCGCCAAGCAGAGCAAGCCCTTGAAATCTCCGATGAGGCCTGCAGAAGCCCTAAACCCCATTCCATGAGACATGTAGATCATGTAAACCCTGAACCCTAAACTTCGCAAAGCCCGTTGATTAACTAAACAACCTAGAGAAACCGTGCTCGAAAGCCTAGAAACCTCCTTCGGGAATCTAGGTCCAAAAAGCGAGCCCTAGCACCAAACTCAGATCGCATTGAGTTAAGCTACGAAGGCACATCTGCAGATTTTAGGGTTTAGAGTTTGGGGCTCGAGCAAGGGCTGAAGGTTTACGGCTTCGATGGTTTAGCTGGTGGGGGTTGGGTTGTGGCTGCAGGGTTCAGGGTTCATGGTCAAGGGTCTTGGGGTCCGAATTTGACCGAACACCATTCAAAACACTGCCCCAAAATCACTAAACCTAAGCCCCAAACCCTAATAAAATTCAAACTAGCCATAAAGAACAACTAGAAACAGTCGGACCTTGCCCTGAACTCGGCCTCCCTCGCCGCATCTCTATCCCTTTGCCCAAGCCGAATCTTCATGCAGGTGGCTGGTCATCTTGGCGTGCGTGTCCTATCCGCAGGCTTCACCAAGGCGCCCCGAGATCTTGAGGAGCTACATGGGGGGGGGGGGGTCTTCAGGTGTTGAAGCAACTTTGGAGTAAGAGGTTCTGCTTTGTTGAGGGCGTGCGCAGCAATCAAGCGTTGAAGAGGGCTTCAGAAAGGTGACCATACAGCGCCTCCAGCTGGCTGTTCGAGCTTGTGCAGAACCGCTGGAGCCGCTGGAGATGATGCAGCAAAAGGCGCGAAGTGACGACACTTCAGGAGAAACTGCTGGAGATATTTCCATCTGAGAATAAAAGACAATCTAACCCCCGTCCCCCCCGCCTCCCCCCCACAAAAAACACAGAAGTGTGGGGGTCTCTTAAGGCTCTTCTTCGAGGGGACACCATGTAGGATACCTCAGGGACCATCAGGTTCGGAGGCGGGCCATATCGAAAATTTAAAATGAATTTTAAAATAAGCTTTTTATCTGTATTTTTATTAATATTATTTAATGTTTATTTACGGATTTTTCTATTTTCTAAAGAAATATCGGGCACATCGGGCACCCTGTGTGTGGCAGGCCTTGTCTTTGTCGGCTTCTTTCGAAAGCTCGGTCTTCATGCCTGAGGCATGTGGGGCCAAGCTGAAGACTAGTCTCCAAAAAGGTTGGGATTCGAAAGCGCCGTACTTCTCAGAGCTACAATTTCCTGCTCCTTCCAAAAATGTCATTGTTCAATTCTCCACCCGAAATAACTGTCAAACCCTAAACCCCGCCCCCCTCCCAAACCCACCACCCGCCCGAAACCCTAATGCCGGCGTCTTGTCACGCGCCTGAAAGAAGCTCCAAGACCTGTGGCCAGGGAGGGGTGGGAGGGGGGCAAAGGGCACCTTGGAAAGTTGGGACGGGGTTTTAAGGCATATGCAGGCTTTAGGGTTTAGGGCTGATGGGGCTTAAGGGGCTTCGAAGGCTTGCAAGGCTCATGGGATGTGCAGGGTTTTTGGGCTTCAAGGCCTACAAGGCTTCTAGGCTTTACGGCCTTTAGGTTCGACAATTCTTAGGGCAACGGTCCCGAAGGTTCGATAACAGAGATTCTGGCGGACTCTCGTTGGCCACGTGGAGTATAGGGTTTGGGGCCAAGAGGCGAGAACGAAGAAATTTCAGTGCCTTTTCGGTCTCGCTTCTGGATCCCACTCCACCCCAGATGCATCCGAAGCTACCCTCAACGCCCCTTGTAGGGTTCCTCGTAGCCCCCGCCTTTCCGAAGGGCTTGGCCGTGTCGAAATCCTCGAGACGGGGTTTTCCAGGAATTGCAACTCTCGTGCTAAGCAAGTGAGGGGTCCTCCGGTCACTCGGATACAGAGGGGGGCCCGGGGGAGCGCCAGCCTGTTGAACTTTTTTCCCCCTGCGCTGCTGCACATGTAGGCCAGCCCAACTCTTTCATCCGAGCCCCGAATCACCGAATGTCGACAACAACCTCGGCAATCCCATTTTCAAGGCGTCACACATCCGCACCGCGCCCCGATGTAGGGGGCCTTCAAGTATTGAGCATACTCGATGGATCAATCAACAAACCCAAAACCCCCCCCCCCAAAAAAAAAAAAAAAAAAAAACACACAACGAACAAACAAGTCGGTCCATCTTTCTTGCCGCGGCCCCGCCCAAGAGCACCAGGGTGCATATTGAGGCGAGGACGGCAGACCTCCGGAGCACAGCACAACTTGGGTCCACAGAGCCCAGTTTGTGTCTTCTCTAAACCCTAAACCCGAAACCCTAAACCCTACTCCAGGAGGGCGCTTCGGTGTTTCAGGACCTGGAATGAAAAGCGTTATCGGTCATTGATGGCTGGATGAAGTTGGGCGTGAAATTTCAAGAGATATGGGTGGCTGGGGGCTGGGCAAAGGGAAGAGGTGGACATGCAGGACGTGAGCTAAGGCCTTGAACAGAACCGTAAAACGCAGACCCCCTCAACAAGCACTGGCAAGACCTTGGGAAACCAAAAAAAAAAACCTTCTGGCTTAACCCATTGTGGCAGGCTCTACCCTCAATCCTGAATCAGCACTTCAGGATAGGCCCATGGCCTCGACCGCATGACTTCAATACCTCGGGCAAGGGCTGCCCAGAAGCCCCTCTGCTTGAGAAAGCTCTGCTGATAATTCTGAAAACACGCCTAATGTTTGTCCCTCCTGCATCGAAAGCATGTCCCAAAACAAGTCCAGAAACCTCCCGGACATTCTTTGGCCCCCGAATATGGGCATTCTAGGTAGTTTGGCCTTATTAGAGTAGCTTGGTTATCCTCTCAGCGTACAACTCAGGCAAGTAGCGCTTCGGAATCTTTGGGGTTTAAGGTTGAAGATGCTAAAGGGTCCAACGTGAGTGTGGAATCCAAGGCTTCGCGTCTTTCTGGGACTCAGATGGCCCTGAGGCTTCCCTGAACTCTGCACCCGATTCTGGGAGCCCAAACTCACCCCCCCCTACCTTGCTGCTAAGAGCTTTCGCTCTTCTAGGCCTTCTTGAAGCTCAGGGGGAATATTAGCACGAGTCGGAATCCAATTCCGATGTTGCGGGGGCCTCCTTGCAGCCCAGCAGCCGCAGAGTCGGGGCTGGAAGCCCCGGGATCGCAGCTGCTCACGCGCAGCGCGTGCGCCCGTAGCTGCTCTGAGCCCATCCCAGCAGAATCAGTCAGTCCGGAATTGACATGACATAAACCTTAAAGGCCCTGCTTTTTAAAGGTCGTGTTGATCTAACCCGTCGAGCCCGATGACTTCATACATATATATATATATATGTATACATATATATATATATATATACGTGTGTATACAGGGCCATGAAGGGATCCGCCTGCAGCCTTCAGACATCAGTTAATATCAGGTTCCCTCCTGGGAGCTTTTCATAAAGGCGTCCTGCTGTATCAAAAGCAGACGCCTAGCCCTAGCCCGTGTTTCTTAGACAACAGCCCATCTAGTGGCTTGGGATCTCCCACTAGTCAATGAAGAATCCACACTTTTTAAAAGCTCCTCGATGCCAAAAGTGGAAATTTTACACAATCGCCAGAAACAGATCAGCTAATCAGAGGGAGAAGAGCAGCTAAAGACCAAGACCCCGGAATCGCCCCGAAAAGTTCTCCAACAATCCGAGGGACTTCACCCTGAAGAGCGGGAAACGAAAAGGAGCAGGTTTTTGGCTGTTTTCCTTGAAGGTCTTCCTTAGCCACCCTAAAGCCTAAACCCGAAACCCGAAATGACCCTAAACCCTAAACCCTAAACGCTAAACCCTAAACCCTAAACCCTAACCCTAAACCCTAAGCGCCCCCTCCCTCGTATCCAGAAGCCTAACTACGACCCCCAGGATGCCGACGCTCCCGGCGCGGCCGGCGGCGCCTTCTTGCTTTTTTTTTTTTTTTTTTGGGGGGGGGGGGGGGGGGAGGGGGGGCTTGGGCTTCAGGAAGTTTAGGGGTGTCGTGGCTTTTTTTGTTTCTCTTCCTTTTCTTTTATTAATTCTTTTGGGGGGGCGGGGGTTGGGTTTCAGTGGGTTTAGAGGGGCTTGGGGTGTCCGGTTTAAGGGATTCGGGCTTTGGGGTTCTAAGGGCTTAGGGTTTTAGGGCAGGGTGCAGGGCTTACAGGGTTCTAACGCTTTGTAGGGCTTAGAGGGTTTAGGGCTTTAGGGTTTATAGGGTTGATTCTTTCTACGGTTTGTGGGGGGCGAGTAGGGTTTAGGGGGCTTACAGGTCATACATAGGGCCCAGGGTTGACTCTGGGGTTGCCAGGGCTTAGTTTTCGTTAGGAGGTGTGTCCAGGGTGTTTGGTGATGTGCCGGAATGCTGTTGGGGCCTTTGCGGGTGTTAAAGGCTATCCTTCGGGGGTCATGTTCAGCGATTCGGGTCAAGCAAGAGGAGCAAGCCCCTGCCCGAAAGGTCGAGGTCCAGGCCCCTGGAGCAGGTGCAGCAGGAGCCTTGGCGAGTAAGAGGGGGTGTGTTAAGTGGCGGGATGGAAGCTCAGCTATCATACCTTAAGAGCCCCAAACTTCCTTTTTCGTAGGTCATTACCAGAAACCTACTATAGTATTTCTTAGGTACAGCCCAGCCAAACCCTGCATGTCCGGCGCACTTCACCGAGTGCCTCACGACTGCACCAGCTGCGTTGGCCTCAGGTGGAACAAGGATTCCGTCATGTTTGGGTCTTTGACGCTCACACGCGCCCAACACCAGGCAAGCTGATTGGGGTGATGTTCGTCGGCTACCGACCTTAGACTCCTTTAACCCCATAGAGGGAAACGCCAGATCAGAAGCAGCGTTTACGTACGTATCAGGTCCATCATGGCGCCTAGACAAATCCCCCTCCAGACTAACCCCCCAAGCTCTCAACTTGCGCAAACCCTAAACCCTAAACCTTAACAGGCATAACCCAAAACCAAACCCAAAAAACACCATAAGGCCCCCAAAGCCGTCAACTTGCGAAAACGGGGCGGCCTGCTGAATGAGGCGCTTGAGGATGCCCTCCTTGACTTTCGCAATCTTCCCCGCCTCAGGATGGTGCTTCGTCCGAGTTTCGGGGATTGACCTGGGACCCTAGGGCTTTTTGCAGTGTGGGGAATCAATGGATCAGCCAAACGCAGGGGGATTCTTAAGGGGATCTGGGTACTTTTGCCATCGGCTTGATGAAAAAGACAAAACGTCGAGGATTCCCATGCTCCGAACTCCACAAATGCATGGTCGCTCAGAACCCCAAACTCCTGAAGCCTTTTGCGCAAAAGCCCTCATAATCCCTTGTTACTGACAGCTCAGAAGCCTTAACCCCGACAAACCCTTCCGCCCCTCTTGATGCATAATTCAGGCTTTGCTTGCTGCTCCTAAACCCTAAACACCCTAAACCCTACACCCAAAACCCTAACACCCCACTCTCCACATCCTTGGTCCCCTTGCCCGCGCGGCTTCCGGAAGAGCAGCTAAAGCCTTGAGAGGGATTCGTTTTTGACTTGTTTTGTTTCTTTCTTTCTTTCTTTCTTTCTTTCTTTCTTTTTGATTTTTTTTCTTTTTTTTTTTGGGGGGGGGGGGGGGTCGTGGACATATGAGGTAGCTTACAAGACACATGAGGCTGGGGGGGGGGTTGTTTTTGAGAGCCCAGAATCGTGAAAATCCGGTTTTGCAGACCCCTCGGCCTTCTCCGCCATCACCTGCGCTTGCCTCTCCAACTCCTCCTGGGCTTCAGCGCTATTGGCTTGCATATGGGGGGGGGTTTTCCCTAAAATAAGGGGTACCCTTCTTGTTGGGGGTGTCACTTTTTGTGGGGCTTGTAAGGCTCGTAGATGAGGGCTAATGGGGGGCTTTGACAGCACAGGAAGTTGCGGGCGCCTCCTGGGGTGGTGAATTTCAAAGTGGGCATAGAATGCCGGGCACTGACCCACGCGGCGGCTTCCCGGTTCAAGGGAGGCTTTAAAGGGGTGCTGGGCTCCCTTATAGGGTTTTCGAGGATTCTTCCAGCATCCCTTGCCCCCAGGGAGATAGATGATGAAAGTTACAACTCAGCTTTTTAATGCCCTATAGGGTCCGAAGGCTTAAGGTTTATGAAAGGACCCAGGCATAGACTCACTCGAGAGGGACCAGTCCTGGTCCGCCATGGGCCCCCCTGCGCGGCCTGCATGTCAGGTCGGGGCACAGGTTGTCTTGATTTCTCTGAGGCCACATTTTTTTGTAACTGTATCAATACGGTGCTTGTGCTTCTAGGGTCACGCGAACTCAGTTCAGGATTGAGGAACGACAAGAAAGGCTCAGCACGAGGTCGGCTTCACAGCCCACAACCGTGAGCTCCTCTCGAAACGTCGAGGCTGAAGCCCTTCTACGCTGCTTCAACCGACAGACTCCGGCAGTTGCGCCTCGGCCGCGCTTCTCCAACCCCCCCGATACGCGCGCACCCTCCGCCCCTCTGCAACTCTGAGCAGCGAGGTCCGGACGCGGCAGGGAGCTTCAACGAGGGGGGGGCTTTTTTAACTGAAAGGGGACATTTTTGCTTCGGGGTTTCATAGGGCTGATGAAGAGTTTCAAGGGGGTCGAGTCGGTGTTTGGGGATCTGCCCAGTCGTGCTGCTATCGAGGACCGAGATGAAGCCGGACCTCTTCGTTTATGTGAGTCGGTGTTTGCCCAGTGGTGCTGCTATCGAGGACCTGAAAAGGTTTATAGGGGTTACAGGGTTTACAGGGTTTTATATAGGGTGTATAAGTAGGGTTTTTGGGTTTGTAGGCTTTAGAGTTTAGAGGGCTTGGGGTTCACATCGATTTTTTGCATGGGCCGTGATGGTTCGTTTCGCGGCTTTGCCGCTGAGTGAGACATGACGGAACCAACACATCTCAGCCGGAGTCGTAGGGGCTGCTGGGGTTTAGGGTTTCGGGTTTTAGTGTCCTTATTGGAACCAACCTCCCCCCTCCCCGAAGGTACTGCAAATATAACAGCTTAGAGTAAATGTGGTACTCGACTGAGGGGTTCGGGGAGGCCTAGCACTGTGAGGATGGGGCCAAGTGGCTGAAGGTAAGGCCAAGTGTCTCAAATCAACCACCACCAGATTCCGTTTGTCATTCTAATTACATTGGAATTTCCCATGCCTTTCCATAACGCCCCTTTGCTGGCTGACAAACTTCTTGCAAACACCTTCAGAAATGCAATTGTCTCAGGAGAGGGCCTTTGCAAAGCTCAACACTGGTTCTGGCTTGGGCTCGCAGGGGCCCTATTGACCCTAAACCCTTTTTGTGTGAACCCTGTCCGACCCAAAACCCTACCTTAAGAATTCCCAACCGACTTTTTGCATGTCAAACCCTGGCATGACTCTCAGGTGACCTATACAAGAAAGGTAGGTTTTGGGCTCTTGAGGTACACCCTCAGTGAGGTCGGATTGTGCCCAGCGCTTATTGGTCAAGCTCGGGTGCTCAACTCCAGCGGCAAACTCGAAAATCCCATCACTTTTTTCATGGGTGATGTAGAGTACAGTGTAGGGTTTGGGTTCAGGGTTCAGGGTTTAGGGTACAGTGTAGGGTTTGAGGTGTGTGTCTCTTTCACCTAACTAGATGGTCAGTGACTGCGATGCAGCAATTTCATGCTACCCTTTACTGGCCTTTACTGTACTTTACCGAGCCGCCCAACGGGGCATGACAAGTAAGGCTTTAAGGCCCTCTCCCAAATCCTGAATTAAGAGCGGCATGACTCCGAGGCTGCGGACAATCCGTCATTTTGAAATCTCTCCACTGCGTTCCCAAATCTTGCCCCCTTCCCCCTTCTTCTTCTGTTCAAGTGTTCAGGGAGAGGAGGAACGCAACAATTGGCCCCCCATAAAGGGGGATTCCTGAGCCCACTCTGAGCATTCTGGGGGTCTTAGCAACCTTCTTGGAGCCTACGGCCGCATGAAATCCCGCGCGGGACCTCGAATCGATCCAGGGCAGATCCCATCAGGGGACCTCCTCCGGCTTTTTACACTGCAACCCTTTCTGGCCGCCTTGCGCCCTCCAGCCCCGGATGCTGCCCTAGCATAAGGTAATACATGCAATACCTACTTCCTTGTGGCGGGGGCCAGCAAAGCTCATGCTCTACCGATGCACGCCCACGGCGCGGAAGGAGGTGTAGGAGCGCAACCACGAGTTGTCCGCCTGCGGGCGGCAGTCGCGGAAGTCTTGCCTGCGCTGCAGGGCTGTGGTTTGAGGGTCGCTCTCTTTGGAGTCCCTTTGTGGCCCCCCTTCCTCCCTATTGAAATAGCAATCCGTTCAAAAGAGACCTCACGTTAGGTCTACTTTTCGATCGTGCAGCTGCCCCGGACTTGTATGGTGCACGTGCCAGAATCCCTCGCGTCCCAAGCTCCGTCATACTGGTGCGCAGGAAAGCCCCGAACCGAACGTTTGCCATGCCAGAAGCATTATTATGAGCATTCTTCAAGTCCGAACCCTAGATGCCCTCCCTAAACCCTAAACCCTAAACCCTAAACCCTAAACCCTAAACCCTAAACCCTAAACCCTAAACCATATCCAGGGTTTCGTCAGGACAAGAGTCACCTTGACTTGGGGCGTCTTCGACCGCAAGAATCTCGGGAGGCCTCGGAAACGCAGAGGGCTACTTTCGTCTTGTTTACTGCCATCGGATCATCTCATCTTGGGATTAGAAGGCTTCGGGTTCTCACGGTGATCGCTTGCTAGGTCCTCGTTGTGAGATCTTGCGAGGCTCTCGGGAGGCCAGAGTTCAAGAAGAGCCCACCAAAAGGAAGCCACGAGCAGGTTCAGGCAGCAACATGTTGGGACTGCACCTCAGAGCCCCGAGCTGCAAATTTTTCGAGCGCCGTGCGAGTTGGGACCCGACACTTCTTCAGATGAAAACTGGGCTGTGGCATGTCTGGGCGCGATTGGCTTTGTAGCGGTCTTTGTGGCAGTTGGGGTTTGGCGCTACGTGGCCCTTGGGTCGCTTTTGTCGATTTTCGGTCTGCGTGTTCACGCGGGGTGAAGCCCAAAGAGGCATCGAGCCCTGAGACCAGAAGTTCACCCAAGCCCTTGTTGCTGAACTGGATTCTGGGCCCTTCTTGGATCGCTTCTTTATTCAGTTCTTAGGTACAAAAAGCTATCATATGCTTTCGTCTGAAGCTCACTATCTAAAGCATGCAGGGTTTGAGGTTGAAGCTGCACACTGCCGCAAAGAGCCAGGTCAGCGGGCCTTGCTGCGCCGAAGATGGAACGCAAGCGGTACAGCACGCACCAATTCAGGCTTGGTCTCGCGCCAGTCACAACAAGCTGAAGCTTATGGTAGCTTTAAATCTGGATTGTTTTGTCCTGTCGTACCGTTTTCTTGCACAGCACAGCCTCTTCAACCTCCTTCTCGTGCTCATCGGATGGCTCATGTGCTGGTGGACACCATCGGCGACGTGTTGTCTCCTTTTCTAGCGACTTCTGATGTCTCCATCGGTGCCATCGGCGCCAGGGCCACGGAACCTGCTTGCAGCGTTCGGCTCTGGCAGCCCGATCCTGGAAGAAGTCCGCAAAGTGTCGCCTGTCCTCCCCACTCATGTCAAGGATTCGAGAGCGCAGCCCAAAACCCTTGAAACCTCTGAGAAGTGCTTTGGGTTCAAGATGTCTTGCCGCGCTTGAAGCGGAGAGTAGTAGTTGAAAAATAAGTCGCGGACGGAGTGGCCCTCGTGACCTGGCAGTCAGTTGAACCAAGTGCAAAGGGCTTCACGGGCTTATACTTGCTGGTACCCTTCCTCGAAGGTGGAATATGAGGGCCTGGTGAAGTCGAGTAGGTATCTTGGGTGGTTTCTCATACAACTAGAGGGAGCATACAGGGATAACTTTAGTACATTTGTTGTAGGCCCTTGCGTGATGAACTTCGATTGAACATCTTCTCATCAAACTTTGCAGTAGAACAGGACCTCAATCATTTGCCGCGACAGTGTGGAAGCGAAAGGAATTGACGCCTTGCATGGAGGCTCGGACGTGTGCTCAGGACCCTAGTCCTTCAAGCTCGGTTTAGACAAACTGCATGATTCACAACGAAGTCTCAGGACAAAACTCAACTGTCCTCCTTGCAAATTCCAGTGCGAAGCAAGAAATCGGTTCAAGAAAGGTCGATGCCCCCGAAAGCAGAACGAAACAAAAAAAGCTACTAGTGGAGGGCCTTTTGGGTCCACTCCAACAGTTCAGATGACTGTGCCATCTTGGGGGACTTGATGGAGAAGCAGAAGGCCATGCCCTTCAACTAGGGCCATCCAGACCAAAAAAACCCTCAACCTGAAACCCTAAACCCTAAACCCTAACTTTGCGGTGGTTCTGGAATGGTCGAAACAAGGTGGCGATGCGCTTCCGCCGCAGATCGCCTGTCACAATCCCGAACCAAACTTTGGCTTTGTGTTGATACCGTACCTCAAGAACCCAGCCGTTACCTCATATTCACAGGCTGTTTAACGTGTCTGCTTTTGACACCTAGCAACGCGCGTTTAAGAAGTCTCAGGCCAACACCCGTCGCGAATCTACTCTCGCACTGTTAAACCCTAAACCCTAAACCCGAAACCCTAAACCCTGTTGCCGAACAGGAACCGAGTTGTGGGTTTAGGGCTTCGAGGAGGGCAGCATCGAAGGGACCTATGGGGGGTTGGGGGGCTGACTGCCCAGAATGTAGGAGAAGCCGGGGGGAAGGCTTCCCTTTGCAGCTTTGGTGGCCAGGGGGAATGCCCCCCGAAGAAAACTCGGCCCGCCAGCATCCCTCACCCCTCCCTAAACCCTAAACCCTAAACCCTAAACCCTAAACCCTAAAGCCTAAAGCCTAAAGCCTAAAGCCTAAAGCCTGAAGCCTAAAGCCTAAAGCCTAAACCCCAAACCCTACCCCTTCAAAACCCTAGCGCCCTACAATCCCCACCTCCCTCCCAAGCGAAAGATGCTCCACTACAAGGGCGTGGCGCCTTGGCTGTGCGGACGAGGAAGCTCCTGCTCGGGGCGTAGGGGCTTTAGGCTTCCTCCAAAGGCCCTCTCTGAGGCTTCTTAAGGCTTGGGGTTGTTTAGGGTTTAGGGTTTATAGGGTATAGGGTATAGGGTTTAGGGTTTAGGTTGTAGGGTTTGGGGTTTAGGGTTTATAGGGTTTAGGGTTTAGGGTTTAGGGTTGA